TCTCTCTCTCTCTCTCTCTCTTCTCTCTCTCTCTCTCTCTTCCTCCCTCCTCCTCTCTCTCTCTCTCTCTCTCTCTCCGACGCGGCAGCGGATCAGGCGTTCGGATTCGCGATGCGATGCGTTATCCGCCGATGTCGAGGAATCCGCTATGTGTCGATTTGTCAATGGTACCGTCGTCGTCTCCCTTCGAGATCGACGCGATCCTGGTGCGATCGGGAGATCCATTCGCGGTAGCGGCACGTACGAAACGTCAGAATGTGAAAGACTCGTCGTTATTTATCGAAGAAAGTAGCGAGTATATGGCGAATCTATATACTTTGGAAGTAATTGTGAATAATTAAAATAATAGTTGAAATTAATTAGATCAGTTAAATTAGTTACACCATTGCGTGACTTCGATACATTTCTTCGATGTATAAAGTTTTCCAATTTCCTGTGAACTTGAATCAATAATGCTGTTTAAATCTAATTGAACTTGATAAATGCACGTGATAAATCTTTGACATCAAAAAATTTACCTTGTCGAAATCCACAAAGTTATCTTGCTGCTGTAATCATCATATGCAATTTTTTTAGCGTTAATGAGATATCGACGAACACCGCAAACGCTATAGATTTAAACTATTATCTTTGCTTTGCTAAAGAGCGATTAAAACTAGCAAAATTGAAATTTGATATTATAATTAATTAAAAATATGCTGCACTGCAACTTTCGATTATTCGTCTCGCTGTTACGATTATCGCGTGCGACTTTTCGACTATTAGCAAGACATCGAGATTGTCAATACATAAATATGCAATAATAAATACCGCGAATTGCTTTCCGTTTTTGATTAAAGAGCGATTAAAACTGCGAAAATTCCGCGCGGCGTAAAGGATGGCCGCGAAGAAAGTTGAAGACTCGTTCTCGCGTGCTCGCGGTATCGAAATTTAAAGCGTCGATTCTTCTCCTCGCTTTCAGAGGGCAATTACGATCGCCACATTTCGTATCGCTAGAAATACACGGGCGTGCCGTTGTCGCGAATATATACGCGAGGATTATTCTCGCGCGTTCCCAGCGATCCTCGCCTCCGGGAATTCCGAAATAAATGTCTCGAGGCTTTCGGGCATCGCGTGGGTGGGACAAATTGGTCATTTGTTTCTACTCGGGCGGTTATCTTATCATCGGCAAAGTTTCTCGCCGTATATATCCGCTGGCGCCTAACAGGTGGTCCCGTTCGCTCAGTCGACGCCGCTAATGACGCCGAGATCATCGGCAATGCCGCGATTCGATGCCGCGGTGAGTGCACGCGTCAGTCACGTGGACCATTGCGAGTGACGCCTCTATCTTCCTCCCGTCTCTCTCTCTCTCTCTCTCTCTCTCATCCTCTTGAGAAATACCAATGGAAATGCAAGTGGCATACATAGTCCTTCTCCTTTCCCCTTCCGCCCTTCGCTTCTCCAAATCATCATCCCGGAGGAGTGTTGCACACACACACACACTCGCACTCCTGCGTGCGGCGCGTACACGGAGGATGATACTTGAAGTATCCCTGGCGGTATCCCTTTCTTTTTTTCCTTCCCGCGACGGATCGCGAAGAGCTATCGCTTCGCGAGGGACCACCTATATAAAGTTACCAAGGACTCGAGTCGGCCGTCGCAGTACCTATATCGCGGTGGGTGGGTGGACAGTATCTCGTTGGTCGCGCTCGACATCGCCGCCGTCGCCGCGATGGTGGTAGCGGCGGGTGGGTGGTTGGTCGGCTAGGTGGTGGTGTGTGCTGGTGCTGCTGCTGGCTGCTGCTGCTGCTACTGCTCTGCTGCCGTTCCTGCTGCCGGCTCGCAGGCCGCTGGTGGGTACGGCGGTGGTGGTGCCGGTATCGGTGGTAGAGCGGCGGCGGTGGTGGCGGTGGTAGTGGTGGTGGTTGCCCCTCAGTGTCCGGCGCGCCTCCGACAAGCGTGCTTCGGTCGTTACAAGAGGATCCCTCGAACGCGCTCCCGGCGTTCACATCGCGGATGACATCGGCTGATTTGCTGCCGTCGTCGCGTAACAGAGAGACGGCAAGCGACGTGGATCGGGATAATAATAACGGCAAGCGGGGCCGGGCGGAGGAGGAGGCGGAGAGCTGGTCGGAAAAAGCGGAAATCGGGACGCGGCTGCGATCGTGTACGCGGGATTACACGGGATTCCCCGTGTTCGTCAGGTTGTCGTCGTTATCGCTGTTATCGTTGCCGCGCAGCGAAGAAGGATGCGACTGGCCTCGGCTACGGGACGGTGCTCGTCGTCGTCGTCGGTATCGTCGGGATATTACGCGGTGATACGTTCGTGCGAATCGTTTGCGCGGGTCAGGACGGGCCCGCGACGTTTGCCGCATGCGGCACGCAGGCACGACAGCGCGTCCTGCTAACCGACGAGCCGCGGAACTTGCACGAGTAACGCGGGAGGGGTGGACTTCCGCGTCCGGAACGGGGAGATATCCGGAGAACACGAGGACCGGTCACTCTCGTGAGCGCGCGTGCAGGCCTTACGGGTGGAGCGCCCGGAAGTCGGAGCATCGGCACAGCGGAGCCGCGCCAGACTTTTAAATGGTGCATTATTGTTCCGGGGATCTTAGCCGTAGTGAAGAGTTAGGTATACATAGGAAGTGCCCGAGAAAGTCGAGAAGACCCTAGTCGATAGCGAGCGACGTCGCCGCTTCGTTCCGAGGAGCCGGCGTGACAGAGAGAAAGAAAGAGCGAGAAAGGGAAGAAGAGCGAAGGAGAAAGGTGGAGAGATAAAAGCGAGGAGGAGAGGAAAAGAGGGAGAGAGAGAAAGAGTGAGGAAAAGGGGTTAGAGCAGCGAGTTGAAGCGTGCACACACAGTCAAGTTCAACGACCCGTTCGGATTAGCTCGCGCGAACAAGCGGAAGGTCGGCTCAAGGACGGTGTTCAGGTGGAGTCGCCGGAAAAGAGTGACATCGCGGGGGAGAGAAGAAGAGGCGCGAGACACACACACACACACACATATATAGATATATACCTATAGATTATTATATATGCACATACGAGGAAACGCGTTTATGAGTAAACGTGCGAACGCGGAAGCGAAGCGAGCGCGAATGGCCGAAACTACGAGCGGCGCGCACCGGTCGGTTACGGCGATCTATCGCTTGGGCGAGACGACCGATCCTGAGACGCCGGCAACCGGTAGTTGGTGATGGGGGGTTTAGGCGAGGATGCCTTCTCCCTGTCTTCTCTGTCGTCATCATCACCGTCGTCGTCGTCACCGCTACGCGCTGTCATTCCCTGTCAGGTCGAGTCGTCGTGCCACACCGTCCTGCGTCGTCCCGCCGTTGTCGTCCCCAGTGACCGTCACCGTCGTCGTCGTCGTCGTCGTGGTCCCCTCAGTCCCTCGGCACCGCTGTCTCGCTGGTCGCAGGCGAGAGGAAGGAGCGATCCCGTGCACGGCAAGAAGAGGATCGTCGCCGACGAGCGAGACTCGCCGCTCCTCGGCGTCGGATGCGACGTCAGTGGTAGCGACGAGAATATTCCAGGAGGAAGGAAGCGGCAGCTTCACCGCGCGGCAGGAAGGACACTTCGGATACCGGTGTCGCATCGGGAGAAAAGAAGAGAGCACCGAGGCGAGAGGAGAAGGAGGAGGACGAGGTGGAGGTGGTGGGGGCTCGCCACGAGGTGACTCGCCGTCGAAATGCACCAGGTGCCGTGCGGAACGGGACGCAGCATCTCGAGCGAAGGTCCAAACGATAGAAGAAACTTTTTGCAGCAGCAACAACAGCAGCAATCGCATCGGCAACAGAAGCAACAGCACATCCGACGATCCTGCAGTCGTGGCGCCTGCACTCACATTCGCGCCCGTGTCCGCGCTAGCGCTCGCGTCCGCGCGTGTGTTCGAACACGTCGATCGTCGAAGATTTCGACGGCGAGCAGCGAGTCTGCCGATCGGCCGACTCCGACGACGACGACGACGTCGCGGCGGCGGTGGCGGTGGTGGTGGTCACGGCTGGACGCCGAGGGCCGTAAGTCCCCGTCGTTGCACTGTCTGGGCTCGGTGCGCGCCTTCTACGGCGGCAATTCCATCCCGGCTCCTTTACTGCCGTCCAACTTGCTGCTCATAGGACTGGCGCTCTGCTGCCTGGCACTGCCGGCGGTGCAGCCGCGTCTCAGCGGCCACCATCAGACGTGTCCAGGTTGCCCCGCATCAGCCAGCCAGGCCAGGCTCAGCAGCAGCAGCAGCAGCAGCAGCAGCAGCAACAGCAGCAGCAGCAGCAGCAGCAGCAACAGCAACATCATCACCATCATCATCATCATCACGCCCATCACGAGGGTTCGGCGCGTGGCGGCATCTTCAAGGACACCGCCGCTCCCAGTCCGGACGATCTCAGACTGGAGGCGATCAAGCATCAAATCCTGCAGAAACTCGGCCTGAGGGCTCGCCCGGACGTTAATAGGACGTTGGCCACCGTGCCCCGGCACCTGGCGTTGGAGACCCTTTATCGGGCGGAGGCGCAAACGCCGCCGCGTTACTCCGACCGATCGAGGGTCGACTACGAGAGTGAGTATCCGGGCGAGTTCCTCTACGGCGGCGACGAGTATTCGTACAGGAATCTCGATCAGGAGACCACCACCACCGAGAATAACGCCAGGACCACCGCCAGATCCTATCAGGGCTACGACGACGTCCAGGAGGAGCTCGACGATTTCTACGCGAGGACCTCGGAGATCATCACCTTCGCAGAGCCCGGTGAGTCTCGCTCGATGTTTAAAATTCATATACTTTATAATTATACAAGTAATAGCATGAGAGCTTAGCGATAAATATATATTGAAATAATGTCACATGACCATCACTAATTCAAAAAAGATAATTCAAATAGCGCAAAAATTGTCCAAAAATATCTAAATGGAATCAAATAAACTCTTGATTCTAAAATCTTGAAATATTAAAAAAAAGAGGGTAAAAAATATTGATAGGAATTTATTAAAACGACTTTTACACAATATTAAAATTATATATGATGTGATTAATGTAACATACATGTATGTATATCAGTTTATACACACGCAGAAAATGTTATATTTATTATTAATTAATTATTACATTCATGAACATTTAATTATTACAATTAATTATTACAATCATGTACATTTAAATTTATCAATTATACAATGAGAGATTTGTTAGGAGATTAAAATTCCCGATATAATCTGACAAATTTGTTTCAACGAATTGACATATAAAAATGACTTCCGTACAAATTCGCGACAATGTCGGCGAATATGCGATAATTGTCTATATTGTAGGCAATTAGAGATTCGCCGATATCCGTGTCGGCCAGCCATTATCTGCTACTGGTGTCACATTACCACTTTTTCCTATGTACACACCCGATATAGAACACTAGAATTTTATGAGAAAAATCCGAGAGAAACGTCGCAAGCGTTTCTGCGCAACGTCGCAATTGATATCGAACAATCGGGATCTAAAGTACGCGAGAGTGTCCTTGCGGCACGCGTGCAATTTCCAATGCAACGATCTCGCAGCGTGTAAACCTCGCTTCCAAGAAAAACGCTTTCTAACAGGTGTAAGGTGCCGGTGCTTGATCCTTGAAAAAAGTTGCAAAGATTTCCGCGAAACATCGGTGTAAGTCTCTCGAGAGACTTTTGCAACTTTATCAACTTAGCTCGATACGCGTGACGTAGGTTTCTCAATCAAAATATTCCGCCTACGTGTAGGAAGATTATTGAGCATCGGATAAAGGACGTTGCCGCATCTATAGACGCAAGCAGTCTATTATACATCAGCAGTTATGTATGAATGCTACGATTATTAATTGATCGCATTATGTTGCGTTAGCCTGCCGTTGAAATCCAACACAATGTAGCGTCTGATATTCAATAATGTTTCCAAACCAAACATCCCGCGGCTTTCACGTCGAATAAAATCCGCGCGATTAAGTAATTGGACATTTTTTTCTCAAAAAATCCAAGTTTAAGATTTTTCAAGAATACGCATGCGAAGTGCAAAAATCGAAGGCGGATCGATGTCGCGATTGCGCATCGTTTTTTTTTTTTTCGCCATTCAATATCTTTGAAGACTGCTGGATTAAGCTGAATTCGTTCGATGCCAAATCGCCCGTGGAGAACTTACTGATTCCATGTCTGATTGAATGACCTAGTCACTCGATGGAAGTTTTTCCGAAACTTCTCCCCGAGCGCCCTTTCCCTTTTTCACGATACCCTTAATAATATCTCTCGAGCATATCAGTATAGACCGAAAAATATATAAGCGACCCTGTTGACTTCGCCGTCTTTTACCTAATGATCTTTCGAATTAGCTTCTAGCTTCGCGAGAATCGTCCTGGCTCTCATTTACCCATTTATTTGCAATCGCTTAACTCATGCCTGTTTTATCATTTCTGTTGCAAAGTATTTATGGATTTAATATTTCTTTATAAAATGCTAATGAGTAAATAATTGAAATCTAACAATGTAGCGTCCGGTATTAAATAATATTTTCAAACTAAACATCCCACGGCTTCCACATTCATCCACGAACAAAATTCACGTGATTAATAATTAATCATTTTTTAGCGTCTTAAAAAATCCAACACTGAATTTAAAATAATTAATAAGTTTTTCAAGAATACGCATGCAAAGCGCAAAAATCGAAGGCGGAAATAAATTCTTATTTTTACGTGCATTTTTTACGTATTGCGTGTACGCAAATTGATAAAATTATTTACAAAACATAGAGTATTTCTACAAAAAATACATTTTAGTAATCAAAGTAAATCTTTTCTTTGAAAATTATCATATAGGAAATGTTCCAAATTTTGATGCCAATTGTTTTAGGTCTTATTTTCCCAAAATGTAAATTAAATTAGTCGGAATGAATATAATCAGATTTAACATAAATTTGACGCAAGCCGAAGACGCAAACCTCGTTTTATAATCGTATATTCTTGAAAAATAGAACGTGCAACGTATACATTGTGTATTAAATAAGAAGTACGCGAACGGAATTGAAATAGCAGTTGCAATAAGCTTGGTCTCCGATAACAGGACGACTTCCACGAAACGCCAAACAACACGTCGCATGTTCAACACACAGCATGCTCGATACACACAGATACAGCATAATAACTGCGGTGTGTACAACGCGACTTCGGGGTTAATCTATCCGTGTGTATTGCATTACTTCTCCGGTAACGACACGTAGGGTATGTTTTATCGCAATTCCGTTTGATATGACGCAATTCGTAACAAAGTAACGTTCGTCTGTCACTCTCGCACGAACTTTTAAGTGTTTATAATTTTTGTCGGCATAACATTAGCAATATTAATTAATATTTTGTATACCAATGTTTCTGCGTAACAAATTCGCACACAATCGCACCTGATTTCCTTAAATTATCGCGAATCGCATCGAGGATAAAGAAAGTTTACGGTGCAATAAATCCAAAGGTGACTCACCGCAAAAATTTCGAGCGGCTCGTCATACTTGTAACTTCTATATCATGATATTCCCATATATTATTCACTATAACATCATTTTAGTTTCACTTCCGTAGTTTCGCCTAGTTTGGGGTCGAATCGCGTCCACGACGATTCGTGTATGTAATTGCGGAAAATCACGATCGGATTTCTTCCGGTTCCGATCAAACGTCATTCAAGCGGAACTCGATGGAAAGGACGGGCAGGGGGCGATTTTGGGGTCGCGATTGCGGGACGATCGTGCTTACAAACGAAATTTCGCGCGGGATTGACGAAAGGCCGGATTGCGTCCGTTCGTCGACGACGCTTTGACGAGCCGCTCGCACGCGTTCCCGCACGGGGCCACACACCTGCAGCCACGTGGCCCGCCGCAGTAGCCGCGAGTGTTACGACAACAGAAAGAGCGGTCTATAGTTCACTCCGTAGTTCGCAGTAACTCTAAGTTTAACAATAAGGGTAATAGAACCCCAAGGTAGAAACGGTAATGTTACCGACTCGTTGCCGCGGCGTAGCCGGCGCTTGCACCTTCGCCACCATTAAATTAACAAGCCATGCGAGTTTCGATGTCGCGTCCGCCCCGTCCCACCTCGCGTTTCGCCCTTTCGGACCTTTACGGAACAGTCGCGTCGCGCACGAGCGTCTCGTATTTCGATTTCCTTGCTTAATAACAATAATTTCTGCAAGATTGATTCACGTATAAAAGATCGAATTTTCTCTCCAAGTTGAGACAATAAAAGTGAGAACATCTAAAAAAATGGCAATTGACCTAAAAATTTGCGAAACTGGCAATCCTAAAAGTGGAAATGCTCAGGAACAAGGACGCCGGAAAATTGAGAATCCGCGAAAATAAAAACGCGCGACACCAGCGCGTTTCCTGTCCTTTGTAGTATTTTACTGATATGCGTTATTTTTAGAGAAAGCTTTTTCCGCTTTGATTTATGCAGTGATAAATCAGGGGGGAGCGAGGGGGGGGGAAGTATTATGTCAAAAAGTTGATAACGGAAATTCGGCTTAATTACGCTTCAGCGCGGTATTACGCTCGTATTTGTTCGCGATCGATTCCGCCGAGCCGTGCCGGCGGAGTCGCGAACTTTTCTCGGCGCCACGCGCGCGATATCGATATTCCGGATCCTCGCGCGTTTCGCCGCGTAAACCACGCGCGGCGGAACGGGCCGCGAACGATCCCGGAACATGAGATCGCTGAGGCGCTCGCGGCGCACACGAATTTCGGCCGCGGGATCGATTTTCGCGGCGGACACGATCTTTCCGGACACGTCGCGCGCTGAGACGTATCATATAATGTGCCATATGTGATACTTTAACGTTAATGTCGCCGTGTCACTATACATAGCCGATGAACACGTCATTCTTTTTGAAGAAACTAAAGAAACTATAAACGACCACCCCCATTGCTCGGCCCGACATCGACCGCGGGGCCGGCCAGCGGGGTCGCGAATCGCGGGGGGGAGGGGGGGGTCAGCGACGGGGGAAAGTTTGTGTTCCACATTTTTTGTCTACGTGGAACGCGCAAAAAAAAAAGAGCGAGAACGCCGCGCGGAACGCCTGGACAATGCGGTTCCCACTCTTCGCGGGCTTTGTAGTCGTACCGACGCGCCGCAGTTCCTCCTACTCGGTTGAATCGATATACCTAACCGCGTACTCTGACTGACGCATAATAATTGTTCGCCGCGAATTTTCCCAGCCCGCCTATTTCTCCGCGCTCCTGTCGCGTGTCGGCGTGAACGACACCGCGCGCGACACGGAACTTCATCCCTTGTCGCTCATTCCCCGACGATGTCTGGACCCGTGATCGCGGGATACGTGATTTGTAATACGACGCGACAACCGGAAGATAAATCGGCGTTTGCGAAACTTTCGACGCGTATTTTTACACCTCACACTTTTATATAAATTTGCTGCCAGGCGATCGATCATTTTTAACACACCACGCGGGTGGATGAAAGCATCAGATTGAGGAGTAATGCAAGTTAACATTTCTATGTAAAAAAAAATATATATATATATTTTTGCCGAAATAATATTTTTACGTGTCGCGACAGATGCAATTTCCAATGCACGATTTAAAAAAAATTCTATTATTCATGATTATGCTTTTTTAGGATTTTTTTAAAATCTGAAATAACACATGTGTATGTGATTTTTCTTAAACATTCTCGCTGAAAGAGAAAGAGAATTCTCAAACTCAGGTGGGCTGCATTCACTTAATTGAACATAACGTGATGAAAT